ATGGCAAGAATACAAATGGACCACGGTACAAATCAGGACGTGCCAAACCAAATTCCGGTCTACAAACTTCTGATAGCATTCACCACACAGCATCATTGAGTCCACAGCCCCAGCAGTGTGCTACACTGTAAGCTCTTGCTTCAGGAAGCCCAGGTTTCGTAATAGTAGCCACCCCTGAGCCTTTGTCCAGGCCCTTGGTATACGACATAGCCCCAGTGGTTTGTAGACGTGAAACGGCCTAGATTTAGCAGGGAGAGACTGGGGGATGATGACCAGTAGGTAGAGTGGTTTGATTTGGTATGGCAAAATAACTGAAGTTCGGTTGTGGTTGTGGCTGCACACCTCTGTCAATGTGTGGGTCCAGTGACCCTCACATTTTAAGTTTGTGAATTGTGTACTATGCAGATTTCCAGCTTAATAAAGTTGTTTTACTTTTTAAAAGCAACAAACGCCCTGAAAACAGTAAAGTTCAGCAAACTTCCAGTAATATAGACATGGACTATGATTTTTAATGGTACCATTGACCTAGAACACACAAAAAAAACAAATTAACCTACAGCTGAATGATTCTGAATTTATAGACATGAGCTGAGTTTACATTCAGTTTTATGTCATAAAAGCTGGTTTATTAAGAACATTTATCACCCGACAACTTAAGCTTGCTTCAAAAAGTATGTAAAATATTTTAAGACATCAACACAAGCTTTGAATTCATAAATGAATTCTAAGTCATCTTAATCTATCGCTTAAGGCAGACCCAAGAGGTGGTTTATGTAGTAATATCCTTTAGCAATTATCACCTCATGGCACTTATATACACTTATGTAATAAAATGTTATAGGGGCTAGGGATATAGCTCAGTGTACAACACTTCTCCACCATGTATGGGACCCTGGGAAATAAGTAACTTTGATTTGTCCCTAATACAGACAAATCTTGGCCAATTATCATAAGTAAGTTGGAAAAGGTTCTTCATTTGCATCAAACCTCATCTATCGTCTGACTGGTGACACCGTAACAAGGACCCAGCGCTTGGTCCACACTCTTTGGCTCGCTGACCCCCATGGATGCCCTAAGGTTGGTACTATTGCCAGCTCAATTTCACAGATGAGTAAAAAAGGCTCGAAGATGTTATTTGCTTGCAAACTCACAACAGCTAACGCACAAGAGCAAAGACTCAGTCTGTTACTGGACTCTCGAAGCTGGTTATGTTTAAGCACTATGTTCCAGAAATACCATTTCCCTGTGTTTATATTTAAAAATATTCTTTGTGAGATATAACTCCATAGCAATGATTTAGATCTGCATAATATTTTGCAGTAGACAAGAAACATCTACACCTCCCATGGCCACCTCTTGGGTGGCAGGCATAGCATTGTATGTGTATAATGCCCGTTCCCCTTGGCCATTTCCTGGAGAATCCAGAAAACGGGATGCCTCAGAATTTCCAAAGACCCTCTCAGAGTGTTTCTACTTCACCCAGAGAGGAGAAAAGAGAAAGACCTGTGACTGAAGATAAGGGTATAGTAAATGAATGAAACTCTTCATGTATTTGTATTGTCCCTCAATAATTCTACAATCACTAAGTGATTTAAAACCACTCTGTGAGGAACAGGGCAAGACAGGTTTATTCTTGGTTCAGAGATCAGAAGACTGAGGATCAGGGTGACTTAAATAAGTTCCTGACGGAATGGCGACACTGACAGGACACAGCCCAGTCCTTCACCCTCTTAGGGCATCTCCGCAACCCCCAAGGAGCCAGTGACCAGTGGCAAGTGTGTCCTCAAGCAAAGAAGCAAGCTCACTGCCAGCCCCCCAGCTGCCCACAGACACTATTCGACCCCTGGGAGTCCAGGGGTGACTCCCTGGAGGCCCCCGTGCTGAAAGGGCCATGTGTTCTCTGATCCTTGTGTGCCAAGGACAACCTCAAAAGGGACAGGAGCTACATGAACAGTTTTAAAAGTGAAAAATCAAATTTCTAAAATGCCACCAATGCGAGAAGACAGGCTAGATACAATTTGTCTGGACTGTAGACTGCAAGGACACACTCTTGCCGCCTCCTCGGTCATCCCTGGATTGTCTCTTCAAGACTCTTAGTGCTAAATGGCAACACTGGTGACAGACAGCTCCCCCACTGAGCACATCATTAGGACAGAAGAGTGTGTCTACGCTCAGCCTCAGCTGCCCAGGGCACACAGCTCACAAACTTGGTACCTTGGAGAAATAAAGGTCTGTTAGAAAACCAAAGATTTTTCCAGAGCATTAGTTGTATAATGCCCTAAAAACATGTACTACCAAATCAACTGTGTGGATTAACGTCAGAACAAGAATACAATAGGATGGTGTGGCCACACGCCAAAGAAAGGCACCAAAGGGCATAAATAAATGCTTTAAAAATGGTTAACTGACCGAGACACACGCATCATCTAACATTTCTGCACTAGAAGGCCACAGCACGCATAGCCATAACTGAACTGTCTGAGAGTCTTTTAATTCAGTTCCTTTGGAATTACATTTGTGTTGGCCTGATGGCCCCTTAGGGACTGAACAACAGAAATCATCTTCCTTTTGACATTTATGTCCTGGTTTTGTTTGTTTGGCTGTTTTTTTGGTTTTGGTTGGGGACAGGTGGTACCATGGATCAAACTGAGGATCCTGCGCTTGCCAGGCAGGCACTTATGCCGCTGACCTATCTCCTTGGCCCTATATCCTTGTTTTGTTACACTTCTAGGGTTCCCTTAAAAATTTATGAAGAAAGAATCTTCAAATGAAAAGAAAGTTTTTAAATTTGCTTTAATATAAAAAACAAAATAGCAACACAGGCACAGTTGGACAGAAAAACTATAGGGCACTCTCAGAAGTGGTGGAAACGCTCCAGCCCCCATCCAGTTGCCCCCACTAGAGCCTCCTCCTCTTTTGAGATGCATCTCACAAGCCCCTAGTTCTGCACTGGCCATACTGTACTACAACATGCCATCCACCACCGGTAACAAAGGCTGGAGGATGAGGCCTCTGCCTCAGCCATCGTGGCCCCCCTGCCTCCGGCCTACAGCCCTGCCCTCCACAGGACCTCACGGAGCACCAGCCAGGCAAGCCAACGAAGCCAAGAGGCTCTGCCCTGCAGACACTGCCCCAACTTCACCCAAGGGGCTATCAGCATTTGCAACCCAAGTTCTGACCCCTCTTTTGCAGAGCAGTAGGGAACCCCAGAAGTCTGAGCCCTGTGTGGATGGACAGTTAAAGCTGCTGGGAGGTTTCATGATTCCCGTTTTAAATTTATGCTTCATTTGCATTCTACTTAATAGTTTTCTTTTGGTGTAAAAGTACTAATAATGTTTTTGAAAATTTTGCTTTTTCCTCATGATATATTTCAGAAAACTGATTGTTCCATGAAGATGTGTGCTTTCTTTTAAACTGCGCAGCTCTGGATACCTCCTAAAGGGTTGTAGGTTGAACCCCAGTGTCATAATGGGGAGCCCCTCCTACAGTTTCCTTTTTTGTTGTTGTTTTCTTTTAAAGCATCTCATGATTTGGCTCTGAACTCTACTTCGTCATGCTGGGCAACAGTTCTTGCCCAGGGAAGCTAAAAGATAAGGCATGTCACCAGCACTGCTAAAATCAGTGGTTTCCATGGCCTCCGTCAGTTTAGTTGGGTTTAGGAGACACGGGGAGCCAAGGAATTCACAACAGAGCCGCCCTTAACCTTGTATGGGCAGCTCCTATGGCACAGTTTCTCCAGGGATAATTGCCGCTGTCACCCCAGCCTCACCTCAGGCCACAGAGCTCGTTAGGAGGGAGGTCTTTCAAGGTTTGCAGCAAAAGAACAGAACCTGCAGAAGGAAGCCGAGGCAAGGCAGGACTGCCAGCATCCGCTCGGTCCTGGCCTCACGCCCGTGTTGGACGGGTGTGGGAGTACAGGTTCCTGAGCCCTTTCTAAACATGGGACTCAAGTGACAGTGTGTAGCCAAACTCCATCACAGGGAGTCACAAGGCACAGGCTCCTGGAAGGAGCCAGGGTCAAAGGAACATGAAAAAAGGCAGCCAGGATCGGCGACTCTGCCCACTTTTTGCTCTGTAAAAGGCAATGCTTACAACAACAACAAAAAAGGCAATTAAGGTCTCCTCTCTCATTTGGTGTCCAGAGAGACATCGCTTCCCAGAGACACAGCCTCTGAAAGAGCAGACAGAGCGAGTGCAGAGCGGATAAACTCCCTCGGAATCAGATCCAGAAACATTACTTCTGAGGACATCTGTGCTCGGTGCAGTGACAAAGGCCGGGGGAGGTGGGTGGACACCCCCAGGCACTCCCCTCCCCCTGCACACCACCACTGCTGCCGCCACCACTCCTATGGCCATGTGTTGTATGGGAGAAGAAGGCAAGACCACGAGAAGGCTAGAGGCAGACATGCAAAAGCGGAGCACCATTCTGCCTCCAGAAGGCTTCCGCAACATGTGGCTAGTTAAAACGGAAACAGAGGGACAACACTCACAATGAGAGCAGTAGAAAACCAAAGTCATAAAAGATCTCAATCTGAGGAAGTAAGGCTCAAACTTTTCAGTATTTATATGCTAATCTCCGTTTATTTCCTTCACAACAAAATCTGAAACACCCTAAGGCCTAGGTTATGTACACAAGAGACTAGGTTATGTACCAATGGAGAGACACCCTCCCCACCCCCACACCGCAAGACATAAATGTCCTTTCTTGGGGGAGACCGAGGCTGGGAAGCCTTTTACTTACTTGTGGTGCACCTCTATGCATTCGGCACTAATGCTTCTGGGAAACATTTTCATTAATAGTGTTTGGCAAGCAGCAGAAACACAGAATCTCACAGACAAATAACAGGCAAAGAATCACAGTTCGATCCAAAAGCAACACACTGGGGGGGCATCAGAGTCCCAACGCATGCAGGAAAGCCATCAGAGAGCAGCTGGGAGACACGAAGAGCCGCCCCGCACGTGGCAGCAGGAGACTGTGCAACATGGATCCAACTGCTTACCCACTAAGGACACCGAGAACCAGGTTAAGGACGAAAAATGAGCCAAGGATGATCAGACTAACAAAATACACCCATGGCCATTCCCATCCTATCGCATCATTTACCTGTAAAATGTAAGGAGATCAGTTATCAGTTATCCATTTACTAAAGAGCAGAGCCCGAGGCGCAGCTGCCGGACCACTCAGTGCCTTGGCTGGAGGTTAGCGTTCCTAGGACAAGAACTGGGCGAGGGCCTTTCAATTTGACTTTTCTTCAAATCAGAGCAGATTCTGTTGCTTAGATCTACCACAGGGCCTACCAAAGGTTGGCCCAACTGGCTCATTTAGTTATAGTTTTGCACAAATTAACATGCATTAAATTTGGATTCAGACCACGCAAACAATTATAAATGTGTATCATTTTAGGACAGAGAAAAGGGCAAGCAGTGAAAACTATTTAAATCCCAAGCAACAATGCTGATTAATTTCTGGTCAATAAGCATTCTATGGCTTTCTTTCACGAAGGCTGGTGAGGTTCCAGGAAACAGCTTCATTTGGGAAGCCTCAGCAGAAAAAGCAAGCACCTCCCAGCAGACCCTGAGCACTCGGCCCTCACCCGCAGCCCACCCCCACCCCCCAGCCAAGCCTGTGTGGCCCTGGCACCCGTCCTCAGGACTCTGCTTTCAAGATGAAAGAGGTGCAGCTTACCCGCTCAATACACCAAGTACAAGATTTAGTACGAAAAATGACCCAAAGATGACGAGACTGACAAAATATACCCAGGGCAATTCAAATCCCATAGCATCATTCATCTGCAAGAAACAAGACGGCCTCACAGGAGTGGGTTAATAGGAGAATCTAATAAAGAGAGAGGGTCACGTTAGAGAGAGCATTCTATACATTTAATTAAACATTTACATAGACTGAAATCAGAGACAATAGCAGCCAATGTATAATCACCACATATTCCCAACACACATATGTACACACACACACACACGCGCGCACACACACACGTGCACGCACGCAAAGAGCTCTTGAGCTTTCAGATCAAATAATAGCAGATCGTGGCCCCAGGTAGGGAAATCAGCTGGGATTTAGCTCTTCTCACAGGAAACTGACCTGAGAGATAATTTTCAGAAAAGGTCTTGGTAGAGGACAAAACTAATGCTTAGCTGGAATCTCTTTTCTGCTCTGCCTGAATTGTTAGTACTAACTCTACTTTTAAAATTTGTCATGGTGGAAAAGTCTTAATTATAAAGACAAACTTGTAACATTTGACTTTATAAGCTCTTTTTTAAAAAAAAATCTCTTAAAATAATAACCTTCTACTAGAAACCAACCTATGCAAGAAAACCTAACCACTTTTAAGTCTAGATTCTCAGCAATCAATGGATAAAGCACAACTAAATGAACACAAAGAAGAAAACATTTCTGAGATCAACTAGCTGACACCTATTCAGGGGCATTTGTGGGGGGAGACTTCTTGTTCCTGAATCTACAAACGGACCCTGGCTCAGACACCCCCTCCTCTGAGACAGGACTGGCTCCAGCTGTGAGATGACTGGGATTAGGGGTCCGAGAGGGCCCCGCCAGAAGAACACGGTGGCTCTACTGGACAAGTTCAAGCTGCACATTCAGACACGACCTCCTTGCCAGACCCTCCCAGGGGAGGTTTTGTAGTTAACAGCCTTTATGCTGAACGAAGAGGTGCTTTAAGAATCACAGCTGGATGGAACTTTCCAGCAGCATAGGTCAGCGTTAAATTGGGCAAACATCTCTATGAGGAACGAGACTTGCCAAAGACCAAAGAATGCACAGAATAGATGACCCAGGTCTGACCCTGCCAAAATTTCCAAAATTCTCAGCCAACAAATAATCCAGGCAGGCCCGTCTCTCCTCCCGTACAGGGGCAAGCCCTTGGGGTGCTAAGCATGTGCCTCTGCGCACATCATCTGGCTCCAGTTTTTAGCTTTACAGAGCAGGGTTCATGCATTTCACAATATTTGCCTCATTCAGAAGCCAAACAGGAAAAGAGAACATTAAAAAAAATTACCTAACATCTGTTGCTGAAGTCTAGAGAGAGGGCATTAAATCCCTTATGAAACACCTGTTTGGCCACATGAAAATTAATGTGCCTAATAGAACTCATATCGGTCTGCACATCTTACACCGGCAATTAAAGTAATGAACGAGCCAGGGCCATGGCTGCGATTGTTGATCTAATTAAGTTGGATAAACTAATTTCAGCAGGAAGGCAGAGGGTAATTCTTCCAAAGCAGCTATACCGCTAAACTTATTTTAAAACCCATGTGTAGAGAACAAGCAGACCGCCCAGTACAGTGGACGGAGCTCGGGTTCAAGTCAACATCTGCAGCAGACCTCTCTGGGCCTGTTCTCCCCTCAGGCTGCCGCAGGGATGTATCAGTGGGCTCCTGTTAAGAAGCCTCACTCCGCCACAGCTCTGGCAGTTGGGGACCTGGATCACCTGCTCCACCAGCCCTTTTTCGGAGTTCAGTCTGGTGATCCAGAACAGGGTGTAACAGCTGTCTGCAGCACTGGGGAAGGAAATCTTTCTTGAAAGAAATTAAAATGCCTTTAATTTCTCCAAAGTAGGTACTGGGCAGGTGTGCATTGGTCCACCTAGGAAGCATCACCTGGAGCGAGAGCTGGGGGAGTTGTGGAGCTAAGCAGAAGCCACAAGGAGCCCAGTGTCCCTCAGCCAGAGGCAGCCAAGGGGCAAAACTTAAGCCCTAAGGGCCTGCCTTTGTCCCAACTAAGCCTTCTCAACCAAGGGCCTGTTCAGATCCAAGGGTCTCCTCAGACTTAATCTATACACGGAGAAAATCAGAGCTGCCAAGCTGCTGCCCCAAATACCCACATGCACATAGAGAACCTGCTTGCGAGTTTGTCTATATGGTCTTTATCAATAATAGAGAAATCAGCATCAGCTGAAGATCTTCAATTTAGATTGATTTTTAAAATATTTTGTATCAAATCTGTCATGGGTTGTCACCTAATACCCCCAAATTATTTTCTATTTAGCTTCAGTGCACTTTCACTTCACAGGCTGAAATGTATATTTACATCGCAGTTTTAAAGCCCGTAGGTTTTTTTTCTTTTCTTTGCCCGGCTTACGTCTCCCCAGAGCGGGGCATACAAGAACTCAGACCCTTGGCCTGTGCCTTGGGAGGAATTTCCCAGATGCCTTGCACGGAGATTGTCACTGACCTTGACTACGTCCTGGCAGGGTCTGACAACAGCCAGCACCTCCACAGCTGTGCGCCCCACCCAGGAATGAGCTAGGGGCTCGGCCACAAATAAGTTGGATAAATAGCTTCCTTTTAACCAATACTTTAAATTTTCTACATTTAAAACCATTTCTTCTGAATTGAAGAAAAAAATTCTCCATTTGAAGGAGAAAAAGAACACTAAGGGAAAACTACAGATTGTGTTCTCTAATTCTTCATTTCGTGGACAAGGAAATGAACTCCAAGAGAGGCTCGGTGGCCTAGCAGAGCCACACGGCTAGCCTCAGCCAGCCTGAGCTCTGTTCCTTCACTTCACTCTGCAGTCTGTGGGCAACAAGTACATGTCCGTGAATGGCCTTGACTGGGTTTATGGCGCTCCCTCTGTAAGACGGCCCCACAGTGACTCCTTGCCACCAGAAGTTAAAGATCCCACGCCCCACATTGCAACAGCTCTACATGCATATGCCTTCATGCACAGGGGACTCACTTTCCTTCTCAGGATCCTGCCAGCCGCTTGGCAGACGCTCTTGAGAACTGGGGCATAAATGGGTTTGAGAACATTGACTGAATATAAACTTGGCTGGACTCAGAACAATCCCCTACAGGAATCTGTCCACAATATATAAACACCTAAAGGACAGAGAAATGTGCTTACAATCAATATTTAAAATTGGATTGCCTTAGCAGACTGGAAGGCGAAGTCAGGAGACTGCAAATGAGAGCCCAGCCTGGGCCACTCAGCCAGATGCTGGCTCAAAACTTAAATTTTTTTAAAAAAGGAATGGGGGGGTATATCTAAGGATAGGTCCAATTAAAGTATCAATCAATCAATGATCAATTAATTGGACTTCCTTTATCTCCCATGATGTTTCCTTTATGTTCTTTTGTGGATAAAAATAGATACACAGGCATGGCCCATCTACACCAATGAGGCAATGGGCATGGTATGCCCAAAGGATGGTAAGTGTCACTTGTGTTTATTGAGCTCGTGCTTTGTCCCATGCTCTGCGCTAGATGAGGATGTTCAGTTCTGAGACAGCTGTGTGGCTTCCAGCTCACTGTGGACCGTATTAGAAAGGCTTGGTTCCTTAGCTCCTGCTTATTTCTATAATGAATGAATAGATGTAATCAACAAGTAACTAAGAGTAATCCTGATACATTTCAGAGAGCAGGATCTTAGAGAACACTCCAGAGGATATTGCTTAGCTGCCCTCTAGTGTTCTAGAAGAATTCACAAACAGCCGGCAAGTAGAAGAATGCCAAAGAAAGTTTGGTTTTGGTCTATTCTAGACCAAACTATGACCCACAAGCCAAATCTAACTCTCTACCTGCTTTTACATGTTCCTCAAGTTAAAAGTGGCTTTTACACTTTTAAATAGTTAGGGGGAAAAGAACATTTCATCACATATGAAAGTCGTAAGAAATTCAAATTTCAGGGACCACAAATGAATTCTAGCTGGAGCAGAGCAGCACGTTCGTGTATGGACGGACGGGCAATGACTGAGCTGAACCCCTGTGACAGTGCCCACATGGCCGGTGAGGCCAAGCTTATTTATTATTTGGCTTCTTACTAAAAGGTTTGTGGATCCCTGCTCAGACTGAGTACCTGTTGCAGACCATGGAGACACCCAGGGGTCTCTCCGCATCCCACTGTCTGCATCTTAAAGATCCCATGACTGGAATAATGTTTATGAATTACTTAAGCCGCTCCACTGGAATAAAGATGCTATGCAATTCATAGAGAATATAATTATATTGTCAAATTATTAACTAGGTGATTGTCATACTAATAATAAAGATTATAATTATATCAGCCTAGGTGATACTTAAGAGTTCTCAAGAAAGTCAGTTGGAACTTTGGCTTTGGGTGCATGGTCTTTTTTCTCTTTTAATCCTACAGAGTTTCCACTGCTTGACAACAGAACAACTGTTGTGAGAGGATCGATGTGTAGAAATGCAACACACAGTATAAAATTGCCCATTAGTTCAGGCATGTTGGATCAGCAGTTGACAATTCACCATGACAATAGAGAAAAAACAAAGCCAAGCAGAGTCACGGGTCTTACTTTTCACAAAACCAAACTATTGTTTTCTGTACTATTTAGGGGGAAGGATGGGTTTTGGGTATCTGGATGATTTTTTTTTTTATCAGAACTTTGAAAGGAAGCCTGGGATTGAGGCCTCATTCTGACAAGAGTTGTGGCATGGGAAGTAAGACTAAAAATGAACTCTAAGTAAAGATTCACCTAACCTGAGGCCCTGTCTCTGCTATTGTCTCGGCTCATCCAATACAAAGTGCTCATTTCGGTAAAGACATTGTCTTCTGAGTACAGTGGACTAACGGACACACTCAGCTACATACACGCAGACACTCCTTCAGCGATCATAAAAAGGAAGAGGAGGAGGAGGAGGAGCAACAAGAAAAACACGCTGGTGATGCTTTGCCCTTATCAAACTAGCCTATCACTATGGGCACTAAAAACATACCTCCTTTGCCTGACTGTGCACAGCTACCCCCCAGGATCTGCAGGGAGTCCGTCCCTAGAATCCCTCTCCTCGAACACCCAAATCCTCAAGTTCCTTATGTAAATGACATAGTATTCACTATTCTCCCATCTGCTTTAAATCATCTCTTCTACTTTTAATTCCAAGTACAATGTGAATACTACATAAAGTGTCCTGTGTTGTTCAGGGAAAAATAAGTCTGTACGTATGCAGTACAGATGCAGTTTTTCTTCACTGAATAGTTTCACCTGCAAGGGGTTATGTAAAGACACGTGGGCCCCACGGAAGAGGAACCCCTCACTACAGTGGACCAACTGTGCGGCAACTCCTTGTCTTGGGAGCACAGTGCTTACCAGAGAAGGGAAGCAAAATTTATGTGTAACCATTATATTACCTTAACTTAACAAAATAATACAAAATCCTATGAAATTTAGAATTACGAACTATCAGAAGCTTCCCAATTCATGGGCCTTCAGTTAAAAGCTATAAATTCAAGTAATACCTTATATTGATTTTCTTTTTAACAGCTCATCCCTGGAATCCTAGGTAACCCCATTTGGACTTCAGTTCAGGTTCAAAACCTACATATCAGTTATTTTTTCTAGCAATTCTCATATCATGGAAAGTGATCTCTAAACTTCTGTAAGCCTTTAGACTTAGCAATTAACACTGACCCAGGAAAACGGCTGCTATAATACTAGAGTATATTACTTATAGCAAACTCTTCTGGCCCTGACGGCCACAAAAGGGATCAGACCCTAGTAATCAAAAGGGTGTCCAACTGTTGGATCAACAGCCCTGGCATTTGACATACCTTTTCTACCTTCTCTGCCAGAGTTCTGGAGCTCCAAGGAGAAAAGAAGGAAGCTAAGGGCTTGTGCTGGGCTGAAATATAGTAATGCTGATAATATAAGCAGAAAATATTATAGTAATGGAAAAACTCACGCTGGCTAAGGCTGCACTGAGCTACGGAAAGCATGAAAGGGATCCAAACAATGTCCCCTATCTCCCCATTAGGACCTAGTCCATAACTTGTCTTTGAATGGAAAAGGTCAGTTTCAGCCTGTGGAAGTCCACAGCCTCTTTGCCTTGGAAGTGACCCTCTGGCTCTCCGAGTATAATCAGGACAGCCCTGGTCTTCCTGGAGTTCCTCTAAAGAGAACTACAGGGCACAGCCAGCACTAATTCCCCAGACAGCACTGCAGAAGGAAGGACTGAAAGCCCAGGAGCCAACATGATGCAGCAGCCTTCTACCTCCTGAGGGCAGAGGAGCAGGACATGGAGTGCAGGCAGGGCCCACTTCGCTTCCCAAAGAACTAACTGTCGGGGCTCCTCTCCAGCCAGCTCTGCAAGGGCTTTCATCACAGCACAGCCTTTGCCCAAGGGCAGAGCACACCAGCAAGCTGTTTCCAAGCTGCTTACCCAGTAGAGCACATCTGTCCAGCCCTCCATGGTGATACACTGGAACACAGTGAGCATGGCGAAGGCGAAGTTGTCGAAGTTGGTGATGCCTCCATTCGGGCCAGCCCAGCCACTCCTACACTCTGTGCCATTGGCAGTACACTGGCGTCCATTCCCTGAGAACGCACAAGGAGCTGGGTCCTCTTCAGCTACGATATCTGGGAACAGAAGAAGCAGGCTGCACCAGTCAGGAGGGGGGTTTCAGGTCATCCAACCTAGTCAAAGCCCTGGTCGTTGCGCAAGTGCAGACCAGCTCCCCTCCCACCCACGCCATCTCGGAATCCTAACTGCCATGCAAGGTCCATGCCAGCGTCTTCCTCCTTTGCGGGATTTGCCTTTTCCTGCAGTCACCGCCCACTGCTCTCTGCTCTCTGCTCACCCTTGCAGTGGCTTCCCTGTGCTTAAATAACAGCGTCCTTGGTTGTCCCATGGAGGGCTCTCATCCTGTTTGTTAGGATATATTACATGGGAAATCAGGTTGGAAAAGGAGAGGCTCCATTCTAATTTGTTCTGAGTATCTCTCACACTAAGAACCGCTTCAGGAAACTTGCTGGTATCACAGGTATTTGGCATTTTATCCTCCTTTCCTTTTCTTTTAAGATTTTTTTTTTCTAAAAGTAGAGAAGTTGTTTTAGGGAAAACCAAAATCTTCTAAAGGTAAGGTAGTTACCATTTTCATTACTCACCTGAATCAGTGAAAAAACATGTTTTGTGCATTTTTCCAATAAAAAGTTCCAATCCTATAATAGCATAGATTATGATTACAAATAATACCAAAAGGGCTATGTGAAGGAGGGGAACCATGGCTTTTATAATGGAGTTCAGGACAACTTGTAAACCTAAGAAAGAGAAAAATATGTTTGTGAGGTAGAAAGACACACCAACTGAGAAATATATGAGTCCTAATATGCTCGCTTTAGTTAGGAAATACAATAAATATTATTATATAGCAAAAAGATATTTCAAAAGAGTTAATGTTAGACCTGATGTGAGATGAGCTAGAAGGAAACCTTAAATAGCATTTAATCAAATGGACTTACTACACACAAATTAAACCTGGGGAGAGAACAAAGTCAAAGTCATTCACTGAAGGATTTTTTCATGCACTCAACCAAACCCCTTGACCACCTACAATGTAAAGCGTAAAGACTAGTGCTTTGAGCAAGATGAAGATGCATTACATAAAGTGCCTCTCTCAAAGAAGTTACATTCTGGGGGCCGGGGAGATGGCTCAGTAGAATAAGCGCTTCCCTGGCAAGCACAAGGGTCTGAGTTCAATCCCCAGTTCCGCAAAAAAAAAAAAAAAAAAAAAAAAAACAGAAGTTATATTCTAGAAGGAAACAGAACTTGCCACCACTATCTCTACTTTTAGGGAGCACACAGAGGGTGTAAGAGTAACACTGGTTACATGAAAGAGGGATGAAAGCTGGTGAGGGAAGCTGACTGTGAAGCAGTTCACCTCCTGGCGGGCAGGGCCTGAAGGCCCGGGACAGGGGCTTCCAAAGGGAGGGGTGAGAAGAGCGCCCAGCACCAAGAGCACAGACGCAAGAGACACAGTAGAAGTCTGCTAGTGACTCTGGATTGGTGGTCACATGGTAAGAACGAGCATCAGGAAAGGGAAGCAGGCTGCAGCCATGACACTCTGGGTTTGGAATTTGGGCTACAGAATCAGACTTTATAGCCTATTAGCAAAATGCAACCACTGTAGAAAACCTCAGGATGGTCTGAGGCAGACAGCCGGAGGAGCAGTTCAAGAGTGTGGGGGCTCCCTGGGTTGGTGAGAAGGAGGGGCAGGATGAGGCCAGAACCTCACAGCTGGTCACGTTGTCTAGAAGATGAGCACCCAAATGATCTGAGCCAGGGTGAGGGGACCCAAGCCCGCGCCTTGAACAACAATGAGTGTTTTACAAGGGGGTGCTTCTGAATGAGGGAGGCAGAGCTGGGGGAGCAACTTCAAACCTGTGGCATCTGCAGTGGGTTATCCACAGGACTGGCAATGTCAGAAGTTGTTGACTTGAGCCTCTTATAGCTCAACATATTAATATGGCTTTACTTTTCACACCTCATTTTTATACTTTTCTGCTGGATGGTTAAGACCAAGAGAGAGCAAGACTTATATAATAAGAAATGTAACTTTTGTATCTAACAAGGTCAGTCAAATCCCCTCAGGATTTACCCTGAAACTCTGTACTGCAGTTTGTAGATCCTTTGTCAGTGTCAGCTGTGTGGATGAGTCACAGCCATTGCTTGACCAATTTGCTCTCTGTGAAAGCCTGAGACTCTGTGAAAGTCCATGCGACTCTCCTTAGGCACACTCTACATCATTGATCACTTTCCTCTGTAGTCCCATAATCTCCTTGAACAGAAAATTTGGGACACCACTGAGTTACAGGATGTTACAGTACAGGTTCTCTTATGTCCTGAGTCTTCACTGACCTTGAAAGGCTAGGGCCACCATGTTGGCTGTCCTTACAACCCTCCTTTTTCTCTAATTCTTTGGTCTGCAAACTTAAGTTATTAACCCTCCAGAAGACAAGATACCATGTCTGCATCTTGTACTATGAATAACTACTACAAAGACAACAATATGCAATGTATTGATTATTGTAACTGCCCTACTAACCTGTTTTTTTAAACTGTCTCATTGCTACTTTGTTATCAATAAAATTAATATTAAAAAAAAAACCTGTGGCATCTGAATGCCTGACAGAACACTGAAGCGCAAGCAGCCTGCAGCTGAAACGTGGGCTTGATACATAAGAGAGCTAACTACTCAAAGCCAGGGTGCAGGCGTGGCTGCTGAGGAAGAGAAACCCTAACCCCAACCTCAACCCTAAGCCTGCGCTGCTTAGCATGGACCAGGTTTCAGACTGAGCAAGATTCTGTCTTTTTATGTTTAGTATAACTACTGTATTTCAGATTGATCATATTTTTGAGGTGATAAAGTTGTACCCTGATGTGTATACGTACACTTCCATGACATCGGGCTCCTCTGGACATAAATCACCATGTATAGCAGACTTCAGACTCTCATCAAGGAAGATGGAGAGGAGTGAGAAGACACCCAGGCTGGGAACCAGGGCACTCAGGCCTGGGGCTGAGGGCTGCCTACCATGACCTGCAAAGCCACTGCCTTTTAATAGGCTTCAGTGCACTCGTCTGAAAGAAGAGGCAGACAGTGCTCTGGGATTCTTCCCCATTTTGGCGGTCTTGCACTGCGATGAGCATTTATTAGCTAACTGCATATGGGGGTCAAGAACTGCCTAAGTGTCTGAATACCCTCCTTTAGAAATATAGCTGCCTTTCACCAAATGATACCCCCCAGACACACACACACACACACATACACACACACGTACACAGAAATTACGTCTTAGAAAAAGATACTTAAAAAGTATCTTTAGGAGGGAGTAGACAATGCTTAGATAAGTAGAAGTTGTCCTGGGTATTTTCACTGATTGCTTGTAATGGAGAAGAAGCCACCAGGCCACAGCTGCCAGCCAGCACTAGTAAGAGCACAGCCCGAACCCTGATTTTCTTCCCCCATAATCCATTTGGGTTTGCTGAAAGGATTCAGTTTCTTACCCAAGCAGTTAAAATCTGTGTTTAAAGGTCTTTGCACAGACTCAGGCCTCATTTTGCACTGTTGGTTGACTCGTGGGAGAACAAGGCATGGATTTCCACTAACTTCTTAGGAAAGGAAGCACTACGGTTCAAAACTGATTCTCCAGAGGAGCAGGGAGCACTGTTCTAGCCACCACCCATGTAGCCGACACACGACTACACCGTTCGAGGTTCTCACTAGCAGGAGACTCTCACGCAGGCGTGAGCCACAGCCCGAGGCTGCAGGCAGTGCGCCCCGTGAGCAGGCGGTCCTGTCTTTCGCTCTTTGGGGGAAAAGGCTGTCGTGGTTACTTTGAAATTAGATTAAGCTATAACAGCTAAATCTGAAAGAAGATCTTTGCTCGCTGCACTTCTCATTTAATCGTCTTTCACTCAAAAAAGCCAGTCATTTCCAAGGTATTCCTATTTTTCTCAATTGCTTCCAGACAGGTCTGTGGTTTTGACTTCTGCTGATCTTTTTCAATGAAAATAAATGAACCATCTGGAAAAACAAGTACACATAAAACACCACTTCCTACACTTTAAAATGTTAAGCTTGGAAATAAGGGCTTTTTTTCTTCCACAGAGGATTGTTGGTGTATGTGCAATGCCAACAGGTTTAATGAAATTTCATGAAGAACTTCTGGAAAAAGAAGGAAGAGGAGGAGGAGGAGGAGCAGGGACAGGGGAGAAGCAGGGGGAGGGGCAGGAGGGGGAGGGGAGGGGAGGAGGAAGAGGAGGAACAGGGGTTAGAGGAAAGGGGAGGGGGAGGGGGAAGAGAAAGAGGAGGAGGAGGAGGACGACGAGGATGAGGACAAGGACAAGGACAAGGACTAAAAGGACTGTGATGTTCTGGCTTTATGACTCCCTACAGTAGTCCTGGATTCTTGTTTCAGTTCTGAGTAGGCAAGCACCTAGGAAAGGTGCAGGACTTTTGCCCCTTGAGGTCCCCAACAGAAGGACTCCCACCTGAGAAGAAAGCCACAAGGAAACACAGGAACCCTGCAATTCCCAGCAGGGGACTGACCCAGCATTTGCTCCAATTCAGGTGTGACTCAGCCTGGCTGCAGGTATGGGACAGAAGCCAAGTGGAGCTGGCACTGTCTGTTCCCTTCCCTTGGGATGGACAGGAACAACTGCTGATAGTAGAGGAACTACTACGAGTGACCAGAAGTCTAGGTCCCTGTGGCTCCCCACTCTAAACACAGCCATGAATGGATCCCTCCAACATTCTCCTCTACATCACCCTCCACCTTCCAAGTGGCAGGCCTGGGAGTAGGAAAATGACAGCAGTATTCTGTCAGAGAAGAAAACTAGACCAGAATCAGCAAGCCTGAACCCAAGGCCTGCCGCCACCAGCACCTAGCCTCCCTGCGAGAGAAGATTCTTCAGCCACGTTGGAGGGACAGTAATAGCCACTTGTCCCCCCCCTTTGGGGCTGTCCTGGAGATCCAAAGTGATAGGGTCAGCCAAAGCCTTCAGCCCATTGAGAAGGCCCCCACGGTCAGCTGCTGGGCCACTGACAGGCGTGCAGCAACTCACCTCGGAGAACTCTTTCATAATCCCGAGACCCACCCAGAAGCAAGAGAGCCGCGCACGCCTGGCTGTAGGAAACGAAAAGTGCTTACTGGGCACTCCTGATACTAGTCGAAGTGGTCGTAACACTCGGAAGGCACGGAGGGCTTTGACATCAAAGCCTCCTGATTTGCCGCTAGAGTGGTTCCCGCCTTCTGTTTCTTTGGTTAATTGTTCCAAAATTACACTAAACAATCTGAAATGAAAAGAGAAAGAAATGTTAAGAGTCTGCCACCCAGGGAAGCAAAACAGGGTGATAATAGTAGTTATTTTTGAACAAGGGCTAATTCTGTAAGGCTGCTGCCTGAATAGCAGGCAAAGCAAAGGCCCGGCCCCAGCTACAAGATCTAAACCCGATCCCTCTGTCCACTGTGATTTGAGACAGGGGCCGATCTATTTTCATGACAATAAGGCAGCCACGGGCAGGGTACCTGCACCCAGGTCAGGACTCACTGGGAGGATCCAGTGCTGATCAGCGAAGCCACCCCCAGCAGAAATGAGAACCTTGGTGGTGATCCTTTCTGACCACTTGCCAGACACTAGCACCGCACAGACCCTACCTTGTTAATCCTCCCCAAAGTGTAATGTGGCAGGAATTACTAACATCACTTTATGCACAGGATCAGGCTCAATGGAAACAAGTACTCCAAATCGCGCAAGTAGGGGGAGAACTAGCACCAAATGCAGGCGCGCTGCCCCACCGGCATGCAGTTCCGCAAGGGCAGGGAGTTTTCTCTGTTTTGTCTAGCTTAGTGCCTAAGACAGTTCCTGACACATACGAAGTGCTCAAAAATATCTGAGGAAGTCAATGAATGACCTCGGCATCCCGCAACTTAAGGTGCTGTCCTCCATCCAGCGCAGTCACTCGCGTGCACGCGCACACCTACGCACACCTGCACCCTCACAGACATTCGCGGAATGATACAAAAGACAGATGGCAAGGAACTCTGCAAGGGATAAAAGCAGTTACCTAGGGAAGGTATTAATATTGTCGCTTTCTCTTTTGAAATCTGAATAATATTGTATCTGGCAGCCATGCTAAGTTTTTTCCTACTCGCCGAAGGTTTTTTGGATAAAGCTATTTTCAGGCAATCTGCTCATTTAGCAGCTACTTCTTGCTCTTTGAAATAAATATTTATTCTTTACAACTGTTGCTCACTTTTCAGAATATAAATATAAAATTGCCGACTGCACATAGCATCAACTCTGGCCAATCAGGCTGCAGGAAGGATTGGTCTGGCACAAAGGAAAGGTTCCTGGAGGTTAATGAGCAGCCGAAGCAGCAATTCTGCCCTCACTGGTGGGCTGCTGGATTGCTAAGACACCAAGTCCATGAAATACAGGGTGGTCTGATTGCAGTCCTGATTGGGCATGGCCCTGTCATTCTGGGGCATTTATAGACCAGTTCTTCGTTTTAATAACAGTACAGTAATTGGCAGTGAACCCGCTGAGGAGGGGAAACAAGCCAGGGCTCTACCTTTCCAAGGCTTCAGAGGCGGGCTCTTCTAGATACGGCTGGGGAAATAGATCAAATTTATGACAAATTTCTCATTAACATAGTTTTAAAACATGATTGTAAACCCCTGCAGCAAGGCTAAAGTTAAAAGGCTCTCCTCCAAAACTAGTTCATAGCTTCACAAAAGCAAAGCAGAAGGAAGAAGGAAAAAGTCAAACTCTTCTGAAAAATGGAAGCCACAGGAATTCTCATCCCAAAGGGTTAGGAAAGTAATTTATGCAGGTGGTGACTTAAGATCACTTTCAAATACCAATGTTTTGCAATGTGCACTTCACAGTACTTTCACTCCCTGCCCTTCAGCGATGTCCTTGAAAACAGGTGACTAATGTCTCTTTCTCTTGCTGCAGAACAGCCTGAGCCAGAGAGAAAAGCTAGCTCCCATCCCCCGGCTGTGTCCACACCTAACAGTTCTGACACCCTGAGAAATCCTTCTGCGCGGGGCCCAGCTTCTCTCTGTGTGAAATAGAAAACAGCATGAAGGGATCCAGACCCCAACCTTCTAGTCTCATGTTCTGGGATTCAGTTCCACTCACCACCTCTGCCCCCAAAGTAGGACCATGTGCCCACAACTGTGAGGACAAGGAAGGCAGCAAGACTTGGCCCTAGGTTGTTATTAAAAGTTTGCCCCAGACAGGACAGAAAAGACAAGCAGCTCCCAAAATTAGTAACAGTCAGAAGTGCTAGAAGGAAGACTCCACCTTCTTCTTCACAAAACCTTAAAGGATGAAGTTGAAGGTTTGAATATTTGAAATGGTCCTTTCTTGAAAAACCATAAAGGTAGGATAAAAGGGGACTCACCTCACACTTTATGGGGAGTAACTCCAGCCCTGGCAGATCCATTAAGTTTTCCTGTGGTCACCTTATTAACAGTTGGAAATGTGAGGGAACAGGAATTTGGTTCAAATGAAGACATCATAATTTGTCTTTCTTTTATACAACTTTCTTCCCGTTCTTTCTCTGATCCTAATTTAGTGCCTATTTTAGATAAACAGCAATGCTATGTTCTAAGGTTTTTCATACTTAATGAGAAACAGAGACCAACGAGCACATTCCCCTTTACTAGATGATTCCTTTATTTTTAAAATCAACTTTATTGCAGTTTAATTTACATGTAATAAAAGGTACCCATTTAATGTGTACAACAAGATGAGTTCTGACAATTGTGTAAGTTTAAGTAACAAACACTACAATAAAGATACAGGTATCTCCAACCGTTCTCTTATGCCCTGTGTGGCCATGTTTCTCTGAGTTCTGTGTTCAGGATCCACTGGTGGGACTATTTATCCACGCAGCAGGCTTTCCCTCTTCTACAACCTATTTAAATAGAATCATGTATGTCCTTTTAGCTTATCATCTTTTGCTTGACATGTTTCTGAGGTTCAACCAAGTTGTTAAATTTATCAGTTTGCTTCTCTTATTTGTTGAGTAACATTTAATCATATCAATGTGCCAGACGCATTTATCCATTTACGTGTTGGGAGAATTATCTGGGTTACTTCCAGTTTTTCTCTATGAGGAAAGTCTTTCGGTGGACATTTGTGTTTTCATTTACTGTGGATAAACATTTTTAAAAAACTGGTAACACGGTCACATGGTAGGTTGCTTTAACACTTTTAAGAAGTTGAAATGTTCTTCCAAAGTTGTTCTATCACTTTCCGTTTCTAGAAGAGGTAGACAAGAGCTCCAGCTGCTCTGGACGCTGCTTAACATTGGATAGTTTTGGTCTTTTTACATTTAGTAATGTAGGGAGGCACACCACGCTGTCTTTGTGGTGTGGACATTTCTAATCACTAACGATGTTCACCACCTCGTCACAGGGTTTTTGGCCATTCACATGTATTCTTGGGGGGGAAGATATGTTCAAACCTTTTGCCCATCTGTATACTGGGCTGTCTGCTTACTGCTGAGTTTCAGGAGTTCTTTATATATTTTGAATATATAAACATGCCAATAGCTTTGTTAGCTATGCGTACCTGGAGCACTTTTTCCCAACCTACAAATCCCTTCTCCATTTGCTTCACACTGTCTTTCGAAGAAATGTTTTAAATTTTGATAAACTGCAATTTTTCAATTATTCTTTTCTTCAATTCTTTTATGGCTGATGCTTTTTATGCCTGAGAAATCTCTGCCTATTTTGAAATCATAAAGATTTTCTTTCATATTTTTCCTAGAAAAACTATGGTTCATTGAAGGCAAATTTCAACAAAAACCTTCTATGAAGTGCCAGACAGTAAATATTTTAGGATTTCCAGGCTATAGGGCCTCAACTTCACTGTTAAACCCCAAATATCCATAGACACATTAAGTGTGGTGGGTTACCATAAAACTTTATTTGCCAAAGCAGGTGGCACACAAACCCTTTCTCAACGGGCAATGGCATGGGAGCAAGGTTTGGGCCACAGGTGGCAGTTGGCCAATGCAGGCTCGAGAGTTTAAAACACAAATCTTACCACAATCTATCTTTAAATACTATTTTATCACCCTATTTACCTATTGTATAAGTACTTCACCACAGAACACAATTATTTCTCTATCCCAATCCTTTGTGCTATTATTGAAATATATTTTATTTCTACGAAACGTATAAGCCCCACAATGCATTATTATTTTTGCTCTGTATGACTTTTTTTTCCAATTACACTTAAAAATCTTTTTTGTTTTGTTTTTGTTTTGGCGGAACCAGGGATTGAACTCAGGCCCTTGTGCTTGCCAGGGAAGCACTTATTCCATGGAGCCATCTTCCTGGGCCTTAAAGATCTTTTAAAATGAGAAACAATCTTCATACCTATCCACACATTTACCCTTTCTGGCATTCTACTTTCCTTTCACTGGACTCCCATTTTTTAAAAATTATTTTAAAAAATCTTTTATTTCTTTATTTGGTACAGGGTCTCACTACACAGCCAGGACTCATAGTGATCCTCCTGTCTCAGCCTCCCCAGTGCTGGGATCACAGGTGCCACCACATCCAGAGTTCCAAGGCTGGGATGGCATGCGGTACCTGAGATTGAACTTGGGTCCTTGCGCTTGCCAGGCAAGCACTTAGACTGCTGAGCTATCTCCCCACCCACAATCTGGCATCATTTTCCCTCAGCTTACAAACTGCCTTTGAACTTTATTAAGGTCTAGGTCTATCAGTCATGAATTCTCAGCTCTGATTTGTCCAAAAAAGATTCTTTTTGTTTAACTTTGGTCTTGGAATATATTTCACCAAATAAGAACTTGAGGTTGACATTTTCACCCATGATTCAAATGTCTCTTTATTGTCTTGTGGTTTGCATTGTTGTTAAGAAGCCTAAAACAGCTTTTCCTCTGTTTTAAAACTTTCTCACTGTCACCGAGTTGTAACAGTTTGACTCTGCCTGTGATGCCCCTCGTCGTGGCTTAATTTACACATATTTTGCTCAGGCTTTTTTCAGCTTCCTTTATGAGCTTATATTTTCATTACATTTGGAAAGTTTGGTATCATTTCTTGAAATATATTTCTCCTGTCTTCCTCTTTTTCTTCTTCTGACACACTCCAAATATATGAAGATTGGACCACTTTACAATTGCCCACAAGTTGGAGATGTGCTGTTCAATTTTTCCTTAATTATTATTAGTTAGATTGCTACATCTTCAACTCCCTTGGTGCTCTTTCTTTGATAGTGTCTCCCATGGATTAAGTCAATCCAGGAAATTATTTTAGGTATATTTTTCAGCTTTTGAAGTTATACTTGGTTTTTTGTTATACTGTCTCATCTTTTTCATCACAGTCACGACTCCCTTTAAGTCTACAAGCATTCATAATAACAGGCTGAAATCTATTATGAGGTCCTTCTCTGCCAATTCCAAGACTTCTGGCACTTCTGACTCTGGTCCTATTGACAAAATTTCTTCTTGGCCAGGCGTAAAATTTTGTCATATGTCTAGTAATATTGTATGTTGACCACTTTAAAAAATAGTCTAAGGATCCAGGCACAGAGGTACACATCTAGAACCCCAGCACTCTGGGAGGCTGAGGCAGGAAGACTGCAAGCCTAAGCCCACCCTAGGCAATTTGGCAACTTACTGAGACCCTGCCACAAAACAAAAAATTAATAAAAGGGCTAAGGATGCAGCTCCATGCAAAGGCCCTGGGTTAAAAAAAAAATAAATGCAAAAAAAATTTTTAAGTATTTCTATTTTGTCATCTTTCTCTGCAGAGTACTGAATATTTTGTTCTATTTTTGTTAGCAATTTATTTGCAAGTTTGTTCCTTTTCAGGCTTAAAAAAAATTATCAAGGGTTTTAGGTAATCTTTATACTAGAACAGGGGCTGGCAAACATTTTTTGTTTGTAAAACACCAAACAGTAAATACTTCATGCTTTGTGGACCTAAATTACTCAATTACATAAGCAATGAGGCTATATTACAATAAAACTTTATTCATAAAAATAGATGGCAGTGAAGCTGGGGAGATGGCTCAGTGGAATAAGTGCTTCCCTGGCAAATGCAAGGACCTGAGTTCAATCCCCGGTTCCACCAAAAAAAAAAAAAAAAAAATAGGTGTCAGGCTAAACAGGCCAAGCTTTGGTCCCCCATACACAGTCTTCCAACCCCTACTCTAGAGCTCAGGCAGCTCTACCAACGATGGTCCTTCTAGAGTCTCTAGGGCAGTCCAAGGTGCTCACTGAGGTCTTTTAATCTAGTCAGTGAGAACTGAGCACGCTGCTGCTCTAGGTGAGCCCTGGTGTTCACTGTATCTGCCTACCCCAAGCTTTCTTCTAACAGTGTTCTTTGCCTGTTTCCATAGAATCCAGATCTCACATAAATCTTCAGCCAAAATTCCTGAAGACCACAAGATGAGGGAGCACTCTCTTTCCCTCTTTCCCTCTTTCCCCACGTTCTGCCTCCCCAGTTTATGGCCCTGAGCCCCTGCTGAGCTCTTCACTCTGTGTCTTCAGCTTGGGGAGACCACAGTCTGTGCTGTGCTGTCATATGCAAAGTGTCTCCAGGCAGGGAGCAGGGGCACCCAAGAAGTGCAGCTCAGCATCTCCATTCTCTAGCGGATCCGAAAGTCTAGCAGCATGAGAGGCGCAGAAGATGTCAGAGACCAGAGACGCCCGCCTTCCATTCTTCAACGGAGCACTCCAATTGAGGGGAAGCGTCCCTGCCTGCACGTCTCCTAGCCACTCACTGAGGTGCAGGACCTTGGCAAGGACGCGTACCTTTTGGCAAAACCTAACTTCCCCCTTCAGATGTCTAATACCGCACTGGGCTGCTACTGCAGATCTCACTTGAATTTCCTAGGTTGAAAGGTGGGACCTCAGACTGATTCTATTCTCCAACAGCCAGCAGGATTACTATACACTAAAAGCCCAAATGATAATCCAAAAGAAAAATCACCTTGCTTAACTGCAAAAGGCAGCTGACCAAGGTCATAAAAAGGGGGGAAAGGGCTGTTTAAAAATATCTTTCTACAGAAATAAACATAATTTTAGGAGTGACCATAAAACAGCTGGGGTAATTAAGATTCAGAAAAAGGATATACTGTATTTCCCCCACGCCGACATGTGGCTCAAGGAGTCATCATTCTTCTGATACCAGTTCATTTTTCTCTGCTAGCCACATTTCCAGGTGTGGAAGGAGCAAGAAAACAAGAAAACACAGGCTGCTATTTTTTATTTCAACTTTCTCTAACTAAAACTACTGATGTCTTCTTCCTGCAACAGGATTTTGAGAAAACACCTGGTTCTCTGCCTTTCTGGCTTATTTCACTTTATGCTAGATACGTGACATCATTCAGACACTCGTTTCATTATTTAAGGCAGGGTAGCACCATGCCAGAGTTTCTCCCACAAGACAGCATGAAAAAATAGCTTTGCTCGAGGGATATTAAACAGCAGAGTATCTCACTGTTGCAAGGCTTTGTGTTTTTTTAGCTTTCCGGGGTGCTAAGAATTAAGAGCTCCAGTCATCTGACTCTAACCATCAGCAGGGCTGATCTATTTGTGGAGATGAAGGCCCTGGAAGGTAAGCGATCTCATTAGGAGCTTAGACTTCCTTCCACAGCGTATTACTGAAAATGAGAATAAAAACCAGCTTCTTCCCAGAGATTGACGGTGGCATTGGCTGTCTTAAAAGAACTCCTGGTAGGTCCTGGTACAATAACTGGCATAAAGTAACAATGTTCTTCCATAAAGAGACTGCTAGTCCTCCATCCAACCCCTACCTCTTATTTTCCAGATAAACATTTTCCCAAAGTAAGAAGGACTTACTTACCCTACTATTACTATAACAAAATCCAGTAAATTCCATCCATTCCTAACATAAGCATTTGGGTGTAGCAATAATCCATATGCTATAATCTTCAAAAATGTCTCGACTGTAAAAATAATCAAGAAGGCATATTCTACTTTTTCCTGTGAAGAGAAACAAAGAAACATACCAAAAGGAAAACAAAGAAAAGAACCAGTGATTAGAATCAACATCTCAAAGATAGAAGCACTTTTCTCCAAAGTTTTAATACAAGAAATGGAACAATTACGCTGCACCTGAGCCAGGAGAGCACTTTAATTTGAACACTGAATTTCTCATGAGCAACTAAGTGTAAAACGCTTTTCATTTCAGCTGCATGATTGCATTTTGCCACCTGCCCTGGGTGTGTGTGCAGCGAGCCTGCCCAGAACTCAACAGGCATGTTTGTTCTTTGCCCACATTCGCAAAACACAGCATGTTTTCCTCCTGACACTGCCAAGTCAGGCCTAGAAAAGCACAAGGGTGCCCACAAACACTGCACTGGTAGCTCTGAGGGGAATGTCCTCTGGAAGAGCTGAAGATGTGTCTGTGCTGACCCTTATTTCCTCTTGCGTCTATGCCCGACTTATAAGAATCAGCTTTGTCGCTAAGTAGCAAGGTGACCTTGGACAAACCCTTCCCCTACTCTAGACACGTGTCTCCATCTCCAGAATTAAAGGGAGTGAATCTGGATGGCGCACACACTGTCTGGCTGCTGACGTGCCACCTCTCCCTGGGCAACCCTGCTGACAGGCCACCAGACACCTGCCCAGGGCTCAGTCTTTGAATTCTGAGCTTTGGTTAGTTCCAGTAGGCATTTCCGCCTCACTGTCATGCTCCTCTGCTGTGTCACCCACCCAAGGACCGGAAGACTGAGAACCCTCCCAGTTTCAATCCATGTCACGCCATGAGCTCTGTGGGTGAGGTCTAAACATTTTCTCTCTTTTCTCCTTTATAAATATTTCTTCATATGGGTATGAGCCTAGTTTCAATAGAAATCTGAACCAATAGGAACCTATATAACCAAAAGACATTCCCTGGTAAGAACATACTTAATAGCTTAAAAAAAAAAAAATCAGTGATTAGGACTTTTCTGGTCTGTGGACTGATTACTAATGCTATCTGTGGCCTTAACCCTTAGTGAATTCTGATCTGACTTATTAATATGCCCAGCAGAAGAGATCAAAATTAATTCGACGCAAGAACACACTTAGTAAGCACCTCTTCCACATGACAGGCTCTGTACCAGGAGGATTAGCAAAACATCCTCAGCCCTGGTCACAGTTCTTGAAAGGTGTAGTCTGGCAGTGGACATGAGGGCTTCAAACATACAGAGAACCTCTGAAATCCGTGCTGCCAACAAAGGCCCCTCCCCCTCCCCCTCCCCCTCTGCTGCCTACAAAGGGCCAAGGTGTCACCCACTTTCCCCTCGCCATACCTTTTCACAACAGACTGGGGTGAGGACTTCGCTGCGCTTTATGTGACTACTATCAGAGACATAGTTTTTATAAATGCAAGTGTGTAGGTCGTTTGAGCTTTTGAAACTTTATTTTTAGAATCATCTTTTAAAATACTCACTTCAGGAAGGTTCTCACAGACTTGACTCTCTAAAAGTTTGCCACCAAATACTTCTATTTGCTTAATGAGAACTTTGCCTAAGTCAGCCCTGGGCTGCGGCTGGCTGCTGCAGGTGTACCCCTCGGTCTCTGGCTGCCCCACAGAACTCCCCATGACTGGCCACCTGTCTTGCCTTCATGGCTGCCAGGCCACAGCTGTGCATCCTGAAGTCGCCCCGTTTTCAACTTCCTGCTGGTCCTGTACAAGCTGGTTTACAGTTTCCCTCTCTGGCCCCCAAGTGACCATTGTCCCTGTCACTCCCACACCTGCCCTCAGAGCTTCCACTGAGCCCCAAGACACGGCCACTGCAGCCCAATACATTCTACTCTGGTTTGGGTTATCCAGAGTCAGGGCATCTACAATGGAAAACAGTTTTTTTTGTTTTGTTTTGTTTTGTTTTGTTTGATTTTTGGCAGAATCAAACTCAGGACCTTGCACTTGCCAGGCAGGGGCTCATGCCGCTGCCCAGCTATATACCCAGCTGGGGGCATTTAACTGTGAAAAGCCTAAGGAGCCCAGCTCCTTCCCAACCTCTGCGCTCACCTTCTCTGGACCTCCAAGCAGGTCACATTCTTGTCAGGGCCCTTCCTATCCCCTCCATCTGCACTTGCCCTTCCCTGCCTCAAACCCACTCACTGCATGGAACCCTATCTTCTGGGCTCAGGAGCCCTGTGAGATGCTCCCAGAGTGACACGAACACCGCCACCGCCACCCGTGCCACAGGCTGACCTCCAAGACTGTCCTTTTGTGCCCGGTGTTCCCCGTGCTGAGGAGGCATGGCATACACTCCCACAGTCACACTACCCAGGTAGACTGAGCAGCAGGGCCCGATTGTGCTGCTGGGCCAAAGGGCCAGATCCAGAAATATTTCAACAAGACAGGAGCATTAACTCTGAAAACTAAAAGAAAAAAAAAAAAAAAAAAAAGATTCTGCTACTTCAACCAAAAGCAAAAATCCCTGAAAACACCAACCTGCTGTGCTCAAATCAGACCCTGACCACCAAATGTACTGTGTCAATGTTTTGAGACTTAGAGTTCTAAGGGGAAAAGATAATCTAAAAATGGCACTGATTTTACAATTCTTCTTCCCCTTTTATCATTTCTGCTTTATTTACTAAGCCAGACAGGGGCAAAAAAAAAAAAAAAGAAAAAAAGGCTTTTGCCAGCATCAATATTCATAGCAGTCACATCTCTGTGTCAAGACACACTACACTTCAGGGCAGAAAAACAAGGCAGAGAACAAGGAGTACACCTACCACACACAACTTGTTTTTCTTCTTTGGCTTTTATTTATAAGTAATCTTGCCACAATAACACAGGAGCCATTACTATAACAGCAGTGCTTAAGATTCCCTCACACCTCCTCCTTACCCTTCTCCTCCCCTTCCTACTTAAAGACTTCGTCTGCTTCAAAACTCTCTCCAGTGAATGACTTGATGGAATTCATCACAAGGAATGTAACTCTGACTTGCTGGGTTTATTACAGAGATTCCACCACCCCGAGGCTCATGGAGCAATCACAGCCTGAACAGCACAACAGCCCACCTCGCCCAGAAGCTGGCACCGTCCTGGCCTTTAATCCTGACGTTAAAAAGGACCCCTATGAGATAAGAGTCCCCCTACATTAAATAAATGCAGTGCTTTAATTTTTTTTTTTTCAAAACAACAATCAGGGGAAGTGGGATAATTGTTTTATAAAAGGCCTGCTCCTTTAGAAAGAGAGAGCCAAGTGAATTCCACAAGGAAGCCAGCCGGACTGTGAAGTCTCTAACTGGGCGAGGTGGCAATGTGTGGAGCAGCGGAGAAATCAGGTGAGACATCCACAAGGAAGCCACTGAGGACTGTGGCCAAGACAGAGGAGTATGCAAAGGAAGAAACAACGGTAAGGATGAAGGAAGGGGGTGGCTGAAGAAGGGGCAAGACAGAACCTGCCAGACTAGACAGGAAGTGAGGTCCTTTCTACAGGAAACCTAGGCACCAGCTGCATCATAAAAGCCCTTGTCCCAAGGCAAAATAGAATGATGCCCCTGGCCCTCCACTCACTGGGCAGAGCCCGAGCTGTGCTACCCAGCCACTTAGCAATTCAGGATTCTTCTCACAGGCAGGAAGTTCCAAGTGCAGGGCCAGACAAACTACTTTTAGAAAAACACCCCCGGAGAGCCCCTTAATTTGACCCTATGAGCCAAGTCACCAGAGAAATAAAGGTTCAAATCTAATTCAGAAATGCACTTCATTTGTTTAAACTGTGGAATTTCATCAGCAGAACTAGCTCTAAGCCAATAGCTCCTAAACCAGGTTACATTTCTAAACCAGTTAACCATGTACATACTAATAAGAAACGCGTTGTCAACTAGCAGTGAGTGGGAAAGGACAGAATCCTTGTTACTTGGTTTTTTCCTGTTCTGTTTTTCAGAGAGCCTTTCCTTAGCACTGTAGGATCAACTTTCATCTGTCTTTCTGTCTACCCATCCACCCATCCATCCCTGAGCACTCTGTCTCTCCTCAGCGAAATCTGTCTCATGGAGCTTCTGACCTTCTGTCAGAAGATCAACAGAGGATGGAGGTAGCCAGGTGACATTCACCTCTGTGCTCCTCTCGTCTACCCACTTGACCACCTATCTTTGGGAAGGCTTTCTTGGCTTATTCTCTGCCAGCAGCTGCCCCTCCCCCAATTCGTTGGCACTCTGCTTGTTCCCTGCAGTCCTGGGCTTCCTGGTGACAGGAATCATCCCTCACAATCTTGGTACCTCTACCATATAGCACCGTATCAGACAAGGATCAGGCACTCCTAGGTGCTACCTGATGTAGAGAAGGAAAAGGGGGAAAGAACAAAGTGAAAAAATGAGATAGAAAGAAAACTATAAAGACTCAAGGTTTCATGAGCCTAGCATGTATATCAAAAGCAAAAAACAGAGTGCATGCCTTCCTAAGTTAAAGCCACCACAGATCAAGGCTGGGATAAATGGTCAAACTGCTGAGATAAGAGCTGACATTGCCGTTCCTCGCTCTTCCTCTCTACCCCAGCTTGCAGGCCCAGGGCAAGGTCCTCAACTTCAATGCATCCCTGTTCCCCATCTAGCCCTCCTGCTTCTATTGGGAGAATCCTTTGCTCCGCACTATAGGCCAACCTGCTGCCTTTCCAGTATGTCAGACTCTTTCATTGCTCTACGCCATAAGCCAGCCTCCTTCACCACTTGGTACACCTGACCCATGAATGCAAGTCTACCTCTTCATGTGGAGTGACCACACAGTGCATCAGTCCGTGACAAGCCCAGGACAACTGAGGAGAAAGAACACTAGATCTGTAGCCGTAGTATTTGTTTCCTGCTAACACTGGCTGAGGCACTGGTTCTTTCTATGGCGCTGGGCCACAGTGGAACCTTCTCATATCCTGTTCCCTGTCTAGAATGTCTCCTCACTCTGTTTCCTTTTTTCATCAGGCTAAGGCCTTCAAGGCTTAGCTTAAGTGGTACTTCTATAGTAAAGCCTTTCCTGACCTCCAGGGGAA